TTAGCAATACTGTTTCACCTCATGCCTAGATCAATATTTTCTAGCAAATTTCAATACCAGGATGGATCTTGAGGACACTGACAGAACATTTTAAAAATTGCTTTTAGATAACCCAGACATTGGATATTTAACTATATGGCTTGTTTTGCCATTTGTACTAATAATTATCCTAATTCTGCAAGGCTGTCTAGATTTACTAGTTGATTCTAGCAAATATTTATTTTCAAGTAACTAGAATTTGAGCTCCATTATTAAATTTGTTATTAAACTTTGTTTACCATCCAGTAACATCTTCATACATTCTTAGCAGGTAGTTGCATTATGATTTACTAAATCCTTTATATGATTATATACTACTTTGCATATAGTTGATGCCATTTTGTTAATAAGCAGGCAGATTTTGCAACTACTAAAAAAATTTCAAGAATAAAGAGAGACCTCTTTTAGTACCTTCAGGGAAACAATAGTATTCAGTGAGCCTGGGTACTCAAAATGTTGACTGACTCTTACTTATGCTTACTAGAACAGAAACACTACAAAACTTAGTAATTGTTCCATTAGAAACGTACATGCTAATTACTTTGATTTCTTCCCCAAGATGTTATGTATTAATTTTTAAAAAGCAATTTGCACATATGGTTCAAGACACTTACTGCTTTTCCTTTAACTCAATCTCCACTGATAGAACTGCCTTTATTATTCCTTTTCAAGTACAATTTTCATTTTGGCTGGCAATTATCATATTTAATTCATTTAAAAGTGGATAAAGGATAGATGGGCATAAATAATGTAATTAAGTAGGTGGAGTCTGGATAGAGTTTACAGAGTATTAATCTTGTGTGTGTTCAACAGTATCTTGAGTTTAAAAAGTTTTAAAAAGGAGAGGTAGGATTGACAGCAGTTTAAGAAAAATTTAAGTTATCTTAATTTATGAATGAAATATTTACCCTCAGGTACTGAGTGAAATTTTATAGAATAATATGGATTAGTTTTTTGGGTTAGTTTTTTTTAAAAGACTAATTGATAAGAGTAAAATATTTTCCTGCATAAACCCTAAAGTTAAATAACATATTGTAACAACTACATCTATACAGAAACAAATGAAGTACAATTCACATTTAAAACTAGTGCTCACCAATGGTTAATTCAGGTCTTAATAAATAGCAAGCATGAATATTTAGGAAGGGGTAAAATTCCTTGAGAAATTTCACTGAACATGAGAATGGTTTCAAATACAACAGAGCAAAAAGAATGAGGGCTTTTTCTTTTTAATTATTTGAATTAAAAGGTCATTGGTGACTTTAGAGGGAATAGTATAGTGTGATTGAAATGATGGAGTTAGGAGAAAGCTGAAAGCACTTGACTACAAAGAAAAAAAAAGGTAGGGGAAAAAAACAGGATGGCACTAATTCTTAAGAACACACATGAAGCACAAAGACAGCTACTGGAGAAAAGGAAAATGAAGACAATGGAATAGAAGGAAAATTAAAAGAGTAAAGCTTCAGAAGGTAAGAAAGGATTCACAGATTCAGTGTCCACTCACTATGGGTCACGCAGACCCTGTGCGTACCAAGTAAACTTGAACACCAGTTCTGGTCTCAAAGGACTCAATCTAGTGCATAGAGGAAACAAACTAATCAACAGTCACTATCACACAACAGTGAAAACACTAAATTTAGAGAAGAACTCTTAATATTGCTATTCTTTCAGTTTGTAAGTAATCTGAGTTCATGTGGCAGCTTATAAAAATTACAGCATTGATCACATCCTGCCTCATAGGTCTTACTTTGACCTGTTAAGCTGTAAACTCCGTGGTGGTAAGTACATACATGAGTTGCGACCTATGGATTGAAAATGAATAGGATAAGACCACAGATGCTCAATCTGTGGAGAAATAAAAAATGCTAACTAGTAATTCAACAGATGCTATAGAAGTTGACATAGCACTTATATCTATATAAATCTATATTTCAATACATAATCGTGTCCAACTCTTTGTGACCCCACGGACTAGCCCGCCACGCTCCTCTGTCTATAGGATTTCCCAGGCAAGAATGTTGGAGTGGATTGCCATTTCCTTCTCCAAGGGATCTTCCTGACCCAAGGATTGAACCCATGTCTCCTGCATTGCAGGCAGACTCTACCGACTGAGTCACCAGAGAAGACAGAGAGGTAGATAAGCAAATGCTATTATATATGTTATCATTGATAGTAAGGAGAACTGGCAATATAAAGGATTCCCTGGGACACAAAAATATTTTCACTTACTTCATCTGCCTTAGCCTGAGCTTCCCTGGTGGCTCAGATGGTAAAGCATCTGCCTACAATGAGGGAGACCCGGGTTCAATTCCTGGGTCGGGAAGATCTCCTGGAGAAGGGAATGGCAACCCACTCCAGTATTTTTGCCTAGAAAATCCCATGAACGGAGGAGCCTGTTAGGCTACAGTCCTTGGGGTCGCAAAGAATCTGAGTGGCTTCACTTTCACGTTCATCTGCCCTAATGGCAAATAAAAACTTAAAAGATACCAATGTTCCATCTTTTTCCTCTCTTACTCATCTCTCTCATAATCCTTTCACTGAAATTGTTTTCTATAAGGTCACCATGACTTAACTGCCCAACAAATGGCTTTTCAGTTCTTCAGTATTTATGGTATTAACACATCCTCACTTCTCCATTCCTAAGCACCCTCTTGGTTTTCTTTTACATCCTAAACTATTTCTTGATTTTATAGGCTCTTTTTCCTCCTGTCTCCTAATGGCGGGTTTCTCCAAACCTCTAATCTCTCTGCTGCTTCCTTTGGCAATCTCATGTATTTCCAGTTTCCTTTTTTCTTTTCAGCCTTGCTGTGCAGCCTGTGTGATCTTAGTTCTCTCTGTAGTGGAAGCTTGGAGTCTTAACCATGGGACCACCAGGAAAGTCTCACTTGGTTGCCTAAGTAGTCTCAGGACTTCTCAAAGCTTCACCCAGAGCAAGTAATTTGAACAACAGAAAGAGCGAGGGGAAAAGAACACTTAAGGTTGAACCTAGTCTTTTTATAACCTAATCTCCAAAGTGCCATCCCCTCACTTCTGCTCTATTCTATTTACTAAAAGGCAATCATTAAGTCAAGCCCTTACTCAAGGGATAGGGAAATGAAACTCCATCACTTAAAGCTTCAGTGAATTTGTGGGCATATGACTCTTTTAACCACTACAATACCACAGAAAGATCAACTTTCCTAAAGTCTAATTCATCACTAATTCCTCTTCCTCCCTGACACCAGTTCAAAAAACTTGTATCTGTATGGTTTCTCCAAAATATAAAACTTCAGCTTGATAATAAATTCCTTAACCTTCCTCATCTCTTTCTCCCCTCTGTGCATCCCTACTCCAGCCACTTAGGACTTCCAAACACCACCATCCTCTTTTACCTGAATTCATGCTGTTCCCTAGGCCTGGAAGTCTGGTTCTTGACTTGAATTCAGGTGACACAACATGTGGCAGCCTCGATGCTCTCTTCAGAATACTAGGAGACACACTACATGAAGCCTAAAGTAACAGCTCATTATCATGTTAAAATGAATTCCAAACTGCTAGCAAGTGAATCTGGAATTCTAAATGGAATTCTAAACAGATTCTAAAACAGGCAGCTGGGAATGGGTGCCAAAGGTTTAGAACATTTTTCCTACAAGTTTTAGGTTAAAGACAAAACAAACAAAAAAAGACAAAATGAGACATAATACTGTAAATTAACTGTATTTCAATAATTAAAAAAAAAAAAGACAAAGTCAGTATTAGAGAACAGCAGAACTCCCTTTTTTTCAGCTTTGGCAATGAGGAAGGAGCATTTCCTTGAAAGCCACTGATATGGACGGCATCCCACTCCCATTCTTTCATATTAAAATTTTCATAGCTTTTTAAGAAACATATTTGATTTACAATATAGTGTTAGTTTCAAGTGTACAACACAACGATTCAGCTAATTTATCAGTAAATCTTTGCTGCTTATCTATTTTATGTACAGTAGTTTGTACTTAATCTTTTTAATTAAACTTTTTATTTTGTATAGGAGTATAGCCAATTAACAATGTTGTGACAGTTTCAGGTGGACAGCAGATGGACTCAGCCATACATATACATGTATCTGTAGCTCTTTGCAAAACGAGCCATCCTGAATATCCATTAAAAAGCTCCTAAAAAAACTCTGGTTTACTTCCGTGGTGAAAGGCCATATGGCCGTTAAAAAAAAAAAGAGACAAAGCCTTAAGTACTGACTTGGACAACTTCTAACATACTTTAAGAGAAACGGGCAACGTACAGAACGATGGGTATAGAGCCTACTACTTGTCTTAAAAAAGAAAAAAAAACTAAATTGAAGCCCAGCCATCCATAAAGAGAAGAAAATATAAGTATTTCCTGAACATACGTAGAACATCCCTGGAAAGCTCCAGGAGAAACAGGTGTGACCGCGGGGAGGGAGAGGGGCCTTCTCCCGTTTTCCAGTCTGCTCTTACCTCCCGCCTCTGTGAAACTCGAAGCTCAGGAGACAGGCCCCGGCTCACCGTTCGGGCCCCACACCGCTTAACTACTCGCCCAGTGTTTCCAGTGCACGGAACCGTCACCAGCCGGCGGGGGTTCGCCCCAGGTCACCCGGTAGGTAGGTGGTGGGGCCAGATTCCCCACCCCCCGCGCCTCCTTCTCCAAAGTCGGGGTCCACCCAGAGCGGGTGGCCCCACCGGGTAGGCGGACTGGCCTCCCTTTCCGCTTCAGGGTGCTCGCCCGCTTTCGGGGAAGAGTGAGAGCCAGGCGTTGCCAGGCTGCTCCCCGCTCCTCACAGACACCGGGAGCTGAACAAACTTGAGAGGAATCCATGCCCCTCGTCTTAGAGACAGATCGCAGACGCAGAACCTACCTCAGTTTGCTAGAGCCCGCCAATCCCTAACGCCCCGACGCCAAAGCGCTCGACCCCGCGCTCCCGGAAGTGACGCGCCATCCGGTTCCCGCCTCCCAGCTTCCGGCTACGGGCTGGATCCGCGCGTGCGCAAAGAGAGCGCGCTCCAGGGTCTGCACGCGAGTCTCCACGCGGTGAGGGCGACATGGAGGCTTCGGCTTCTACCCCGCCGTCAACTTCAACCGAGACTTCAGCTTCGACTCCAGAGACCCCGGCCGGCCCGGAGCAGCTGGACGAAGAGCAGGTGAGTGGCCCCTGGGCGGGGAGTTTGGAAGCGGGGCAGCCGAGGCCTTGTGAGTCGCGGATTCCGAGAGCGGGTTCCGCGCCGGTGTGGAGGCCTTCTGGGCTTAGAGTCGCTCGTTCGCGGTGTCCTCCACTCTCTTGCTGCCTTAAACTGCCGGCTAGACGCCCGCCTCCTCCAGCCCTGCGGCCTGGCTCTGTTGAGTTGATTTTTTTTTTTTTTTTTTTAATGGCCGCTCCGCGCGGCTCTCGGGGTTCTAGTTCCCCGACTAGGGATGAAACCCGTGCCATCTGCAGTGTGAGCTCAGAGTCTTAACCGCCGGACCGCCAGGCGAGTCCCTTACCTTGGGTTGGATTTCAGGTATACTTTGGGGCCCTGGGGTGAGGCCCATCTGGCTCTGCTTCCGTGCCGTTTGCCCTTTTTTGCTTTTGTTTCTTCTAATTCATAAATCTCTCAGTTGATTGCAAATAACTAGCGCAGAACACAGAGTAGCCTCCGAAGAGAAGTCCTGGGAGGAGGCGTCGCAGCACAAGAAGTATCCGGCAGCTGGTCTCTTAACAAGCCCGGAGGGAAACAGGCTCCTGCTGAAACAAGGCCTCCGGCAGTATCCGTCTGAAACAGCTCTCAGCAGCGTGGAGACGGGCCTTCCAGCGAGGAGACTTCACGTCTCTCGGCTCCGGGGTCTCTTTTTGAGGAGTGGTGGTAAAGAACCCACCTGCCAGTGCCGGAGACATAAGAGACGCAGGGTTTGATCCCTGGGTGGGGAAGATCCCCTGGAGAAGGAAACAGCAACCCACTCCAGTGTTTTTTCCTGGAGAATCCCATGGACAGAGGAGCCTGGTGGGTCCATGGGGTTCCAGAGAGTCAGACACCACTGAAGAGACTTGGCACACACAGTTATTACAGGGGAGTGGGTCATGGCTCTATCAGTTGCTCCTTCTGTTCCACACACGTTGCCCATCAAATTTCTCATCTAAAGTAACACTCTCAGTTTACCACTCTGAGACACTTGCAGTCTTACAGCAGGTTTTTTTTTTTTTATTAGAACTGATTCAAATGAATTCTTTTTAATGGCTGAGTAATATTCCATGGTGTATATGTACCACAGCTTCCTTATCCATTCGTCTGTTACAGCAGGTTTTTAAAAAACATTTATTTGACAGATTTGGGTCTTAGTGGCCTCATGTGGAAACTCTTGGTTGCTGCATGTGGGATCTAGCTCCCTGACCAGGGTTGGAACCCAGGCCCCTGCATTGGAAGCACAGAGTCTTAGCTACTGGACCACCAGGGAAATTGCTAGCAGATGTTTTAAAACAACGGATACAGAAGTTCATGCTGGCCACTGTGACTCCGTTTTGAACTGCCTTACAGAGTTTTTGTTGCTCCATCGCTAAGTCATGTCCAACCAGAGCATGCCAGGCTCCCCTGTCCTTCACTGTCTCCTGGAGTTTATGTTCATAGAGTCAGTGATGCTATCCAACCATCTCATCCTCTGCTGTCCCCTTCTCCCAAGTTAAAAGTGCCTAAAAAATTTAAAGTTTTTTTGCAAGATGAGTAGGTATCAGAACACAAAAGGAATCACCTTATAACAGCAATACAGTGGGGCAAGAGAAAAGGGAATGTCTCTAAAACAGGCCCAAATTATACCTTGAAAACCACACGACTGATTTGACTCTTTCTGGTATTCTAAAAGAATGCTTTTCTAAGGTCCTACCAAGTTTTCCTTTTCAGTTCAGTGGCTCAGTCGTGTCCAACTCTTTGCGACCCCATGCAGCACACCAGGCCTACATGTCCATTGCCAACTCCCAGAGTTTACTCAAACTTATGTCCATTGAGTCAGCAATGCCCTCCAACTATCTCATCCCCTGTCGTCCCCTTCTCCTCCTGCCTTCAGTCTTCTCCAGCATCAGGGTCTTTTCCAGTGAGTCAGTTCTTGCCATCAGGTGGCCAAAGTATTGGAGTTGCAGCTTCAGTATCAGTCCTTCCAATGAATATTCAGGACTCATTTCCTTTAGGATGGACTAGTTTTCCCTTTAACATTCTGAAAATTAGGCTTTGTTAGAAATAAAGCTGCAAATTAGAAAGCTTAATTTTTTGTTAATTTTAATTGGCGTGTAGGTGCTTTACAATGTTATATTGGTTTCCGCTATACAGCAAGGTGAATAAGCTGTGCGTGTACACATAGCCCCTGCAGTTTGGCCAAGTCGCTTGGCCCTCGGTAACTTCCTCGCATTTAAAAGTGGGCTCCGCTCTCCATGATCAGAGAAGGTGATGCAAACAGAGCAAGGGGGTCGGGCGGGCCTGGCACGTAATGAGCACTCAGAAAACGTGAGCTGCAGATGTGCTGCGCTTTTATGGGGTTTGCTGACCTCATTGTTGAGTGCAGGGGACTCATGCTGCCGCTTGATGTTCTGTTTAGGCCTTGCGGGGACCTGTGTCTCCTGCAGTGGAAACTCAAGAGTCTTAACCTCTGGACTTCAGGTGGCTGCATTCCCCTGATTATAAATTGCACATCCTTGATGAGTATGGTTGTGGAGATTACCTGCGAAAATAGAAATTGAAGCAGTGGCAAATTCTGGGGAGGGGCTAGATTCTGAATTTTGCTAAATTCAATTGAAATTTGACTGACTTGTGTATCTCTACTTTGCAGGTTAAGAAGGCAGTGGAGGCTCTGTTGGCACATTCCAGATCCAGGAAAAACGCGAAAGGATTACTTCTGAATGAGAATGAAAATTTCTTTTTAATGGTGGTATTATGGAAAATTCCAAGTAAAGAACTGAGAGTCAGATTGTAAGTTCTTGTCTTCTACTTCTGCTGGTCTTAACTGGTTGGCTGTTTTGTGGAACTTTAACAACTGTCAACTTAGGTTTTGGTGGAAACTTGGCAAAATCAAAATACCTGATTTGAAAACCATCGGATTTAGACATGCTTAAATTTTCTAAAAATTCCATCAGTTTTCTGAATGGTTGGTGGATGGTTTGACCAAAGCCAAACTCAGTTCTGTTGAATCTGAAAACCTGGTTTTTGAGAGGACAAAGGTTAGAATAAATGAAGCAGCTTTTGTATTTTTATAGAATCTTTTATCTTTCCATGTCAAACTAGTTCCAAGCTAAAATTACTGAGGTGCTAAACTCATTCCTATATACAGAGACTATTAAAAATTTGACCGTGAATTCCTTACAGAAAAGAAACCCATGAAGATTACACATTCTTATTGCTAGAACTCTTAGGTCAAAGATGCCAGACTTAGCAAATAAAAATACAGGGGAATTTTTTTGTTAGTATAAGTAGGTCCCATGCAGCATGGGGACATAATTATACTTAAAAAAATGTTTCAGGTTTAACTGGGTGTCCTATATTCTGTCTGGTAATCTGCCTCTCTGAAATCCTTCATTTTCAAAGCTGACTCTGTTATAGAAAGCAAGGTGTGGGATAGCTTTTCTTTCCCCCATAAGGGTGGAGGATAGGGGTTATAAATAACTGCAATTGGAGATGTTACCCCCAGATGTCCAGTGGTTAGGGCTTCACTTTCTAATGCACGGGGGTGCAAGTTCCATCCCTGATTGGGGAGCTGGGATCCCCCATGCCTCTTGGCCAAAAACAAAAAGCAGAAACACTGTAACAAAGTCAATGAAGACATCTAAAAACAATTTTTTTTTTTAAAGAATGTTTACAAATTGGGAAGACGCTTTTAACCCTCAGACTCTCTTAACTCATCCCAGTGAACAGCACTAGCCATGTTGTTTTAGTTACTGCTTTACATATCTGGCTGTGTCTTTCTTTATCCACACTTTTGCCCTCACATTCTCCAGGTTACTTTCCCAGCTGCTCACCTCTTGGTGATTTCTGCCACTTGCCATCTCATTGTCCAAGTCCTGCTGCTGTGGCTTGCTCTCTTAAACTAACGAAATGTTTCCTCAGGACACAGACCTAGCACCCGAGCTAAGCCTTTTTTTCCCTTTTTGAGACTCAGCATAATGCTTGTTTGCTGGTCCCTGTAGGTTTGCTGGGTTTTCTGTTTTAGCTCTTAAGAGTTATGATTATGGAGCCCAGAGGTTTCTGCAAAGTGGCATTCTGAACCAGAAATGCCATGATGAAACTGGATTATTCTAGCACTTCATAGTACATATGTATATATAGCAAACATATAAAATAATGATCAGACTTCCCTAGTGGACCAGTGGTTAGGATTCCACCTTCCAATGCAGGAGGCACAGGTTTGAATCCTGGAAGGAACTAAAATGCCATGTGTGTTGTGGCCAAATAATAGTTACGTTTATACTATTTTGAGTGTCCTTGATATATTTTAACTCTTAATCGTATCCCAAATGTTAATGGTATTTCGGTCTGTGGATATTTGTGGTGACTTAGTACTTGAATCTTAACTTTTCTGTACCATTGAAAACTGTGTATGTGTGTGCTGTGCTCAGTAGCTTATTTGTTAAAAAAAAACATGAATAAAGTTTATTGAAATTACTGGATTTATTGTGTATTCTGTGGAATATAAACATATATATGATCAGTTATAATGCCTTATTCCTTGGTCTGTCTTATGTATTTTGCAGGTCTTTGCCTCATGGTATTCGATCAGATTTAGCAGATGTTTGTTTATTTACCAAAGATGAACCCAATTTAAGCTCTGAACAGACAGAGCGTTTTTATAAGAAGCTTCTAAACAAGCATGGGATCAAAACCATTTCTCAGGTAGGGAGCAGGTTAATATTTCAAGACAACTAAAGAGTGGATTCAGTTGAAGTGACAGGAGGGTCTTCCCTGGTGGTTAAGATCCTGTGCTTCTACTGCAGGGGGCCTGGGTTCAAACCCTGGTCAGAGAACTGAGATCCTTCATGCCTGTTGGCTCTCCCTGCTGCCTGCACCCCCACCCCCCAAAAAAAAGATTTCAGTTAAAACGACAAATAATGCATTACCTAGTACATGTTCCTCTCTTGGGAATTTAATTTTTAAGTTAATTTTCCCTTTTTAACTCTCATTGGCTTTGGGTAGGGCATACTCACTCTACCTTGTAACGAATGAGCTGTTGAGGTTTGTTGGCCTAAGGGCTCTACATGTGCATCAGTGATGTTTCTATCTTGAAGATTTTACACAAGTTGCTCTGTTTTACACAAATTGCTCCTTTCTCCTTCGGGGTGTCCTGGGTTTGCCTCTGGCTCGGCGCTTCCCGCCCTCTCTGTAGTTAGTGGTGTGGTGTCTTTAGCTGAGGGTCCCGCTCATTCCTTTGTGTCCCCAGCATTCATCCTAGTGCCTGTGCTGTTTCAGGCACATTTGTGTCCACTCAGCTGTGACTCCAGGGCTTTTTAAAATCTAAACACAAATTGTCCCTGTATTTCTTCTTCTTGTCCAGGTTCTTAGTTTTTTTGTGTTGTTATACTTCCCCCCCCCCCCCCCCCGCTTTCTTTCTCCTTTTTCTTTTTAATCAAAGTATAGTTGGTTTACAATATTGTTTTGTATCTGTTGATCTCAAACTCCTAATTTGTCCACCGCCTCCCCCACCCCCCCCAGTAACCTTAAGTTTGTTTGCTGTGTCACTGAGTCTGTTTCTATTTTGTATATTCATGTTTTTACATTTTCTTAAATTTTCTAGATTATCCCCCTCCGAACTTTAAAAAAGGAATATAAAGCCTATGAAGCCAAGCTCCGCCTCTTGGGTAGTTTTGACTTCTTCATTACAGATGCCAGAATCAGGCGGCTGTTGCCCTCACATCTGGGGAGGCATTTCTACAACAGAAAGAAGTAAGTTTCTCAGCTGTGCCTGGACTTGAGTAACGTGACCTTCACGGCTGTGTGTGCGCTGTGGTAAAGAGCCATTGTGTTGTTCTAGGGTTCCAGTATCTGTAAACCTTCAGTCCAAGACTTTATCTAGAGAGATCAACGACTGCATTGGGGGAACGGTCTTAAACATCTCTAAGAGCGGCTCTTGCAGGTAGGTAAAAGGCATGAAGGTGTGCCTCTGTTTAATTTTATATTTAGAAATGGTTTTATTGGGGTTGCAAAGAGTCGAACATGACTCAGTGACTGAACGACGACAACGGTGGCTGTATAAACATTTATAAGATGGTGTGAATCAAATCAGACTCTTCAGTTAAAACTAAAATTCATTCCTTAGAAGCATTCAGTTCCTAGAACGGTACTGCCCCCTAGAACTTTCCACAGTGCTGGAGATGGTTTGTGGCTGTACAGTCTCTTAGGAGAAAAGCCCCACGTGGCTGCTGAGCTCGTGATGTGGCTGCTGCAGCTGAGGAACCAAACTTCCAACCCCTTGATTTTAGCTGAATTTTAAAAGGTGTGTCTGCTGACTTTTACCATATTGGACAGGGCACCTCCAGGTGTTCAGGAAAACAGGAGAATAAGACCAATGCTTAGGGAACGTTAGTAGCTCTGGGCTTCTGTGTTGACCAGCATCATTTATCCTTTAAAGTCCAGGCCCACCTCAGTCTTGCTTTAACTTCTTGAGAAGTGCGTTGCGCATCCCCCGTTTCACCAGCCTGTCTTATATCTCGGCGTGGCCTCGTGGAGCTTCTCCTTCCTGGAGTGCTGAGCTGGGTGGGGACCCCCCCCCCCCGAAGGCCCCCACTGAAGGCCTTTCAGGGCAGTGGCTGCATCCCAGCCTCAGGTGGACAGGTAGCGGCTCAGCCTTTTGCCTTTTTTTTAATGGACTGAGAAGCAGGTTGGGTTTGACTGCCTGAAGTTATGTTTGAGTTGGTGGAGGAACATAATTCAGCATCATTTCATAAAGTATGTAATCTGATGGCTGGGACATCTGGTGTGGGGCTAGGCGTCTGCCAGTAGGGCAGGGCTATAGAGCCTTTCCACCCGGAGATTCCCCGGAAGCCCATGTCAACTCAGTGGTCACCTCCATAACAAAACGGTGTCTTGGCTCTGCTCACCAGGGAGGCCAGCCCTCAGCAGTGTCTCCGGGTGAGTTAGAGCAGGGCATGGCTGGGGAGACTGGTGGACTCTGGTGTCATCTTCTGCCTGCAGGTGGGAACCCTCCTACTTGGGTGAGTTAAGCAGCTCAGTAGAGTCGATGGTCAGGCCTGGACCCCCCACTCTATAGATTATAGGCTGACCTGAAAGTAGTGGTTCATGGGAAGCAGTTAGCTTGAGGGTCAGAGGCCTGGTTCAGGCTACACTTCAGGTCGGTGCCAGTGGGCACACAGAATGGGCGACCCCTTCTTTGGTTTGAGAGAGGTGGGATCACCAGCGCATGTCACCCTCATTCTGCAGATACCCCACCAACAGCCAGCCTGCCTGTCAGCTCCCCTGGTAGGGAGAGTGGGAGCTGGCAGGACCTGGGGACCTGGTGGCTGAGCTGTGGGCACTTGCAGGCTCTCCACTGGCCCGTGGGTGCCCTGTGCTTCAGCTGAGGAGATAGTTTTGCTCTCAGCCAGAAGATGCTATTCCACGAGCAAACTCAGTGGTCACCTCCATAACAAAACGGTGTCTTGGCTCTGCTCACCAGGGAGGCCAGCCCTCAGCAGTGTCTCCGGGTGAGTTAGAGCAGGGCATGGCTGGGGAGACTGGTGGACTCTGGTGTCATCTTCTGCCTGCAGGTGGGAACCCTCCTACTTGGGTGAGTTAAGCAGCTCAGTAGAGTCGATGGTCAGGCCTGGACCCCCCACTCTATAGATTATAGGCTGACCTGAAAGTAGTGGTTCATGGGAAGCAGTTAGCTTGAGGGTCAGAGGCCTGGTTCAGGCTACGCTTCAGGTCGGTGCCAGTGGGCACACAGAATGGGCGACCCCTTCTTTGGTTTGAGAGAGGTGGGATCACCAGCCCATGTCACCCTCATTCTGCAGATACCCCACCAACAGCCAGCCTGCCTGTCAGCTCCCCTGGTAGGGAGAGTGGGAGCTGGCAGGACCTGGGGACCTGGTGGCTGAGCTGTGGGCACTTGCAGGCTCTCCACTGGCCCGTGGGTGCCCTGTGCTTCAGCTGAGGAGATAGTTTTGCTCTCAGCCAGAAGATGCTATTCCACGAGCAACGGATGCTGCGTCAGGGCAGTGGGGCTCTAAAGATAGCAGGCGGTCCTCCTGGGAGTGGGTCCTTTCCAGAACAGCCACTCTTGGGGGTTATCACCCTCAAAGCTTGAGGGGCTGGCCTGGGGGCCCGTGTTCTCCAGAATGCAGGTGGGGTTCCCGGTGGCCCTCCCCACTTGCCCTGCCAGCCTCTCGCTCACTTCCTGCTTTGCTGGCGGGGGTATGGTGACCTCACAAAGCCGCGGTAGTCTCTGCTGTACCGTGAGGTGACTCAGCCGCACCCATACACGGACCCCTCCCTCCCGGATTCCCCCATCTGGGTCACCAGAGAGCAGCGGCTCATCACCTCCGGATATTTCAGGAGGAGGGTATTTCTTCTAGGGCAGGAAAGGTGATCATCTCTTAAATGGAGGACCTAAAGATCTTAATGTTTCGACCCTAAAAAAAATGTTTGGGTTGTGTACTTCTGTTTCTCATTTACCAGCCTATGCTTTATTCTGAGAAACAAGCTATGTTTTCATATCTCTGTGTTGAATGCTTTTTCAGCACTATCCGCATTGGTCACACGGGGATGCCGACTGAGCACATCGTTGAAAATGTCGTTGCTGTTGCAGAAAGGCTCTCGCAGAAACTGCCAGAGGTACGGTCTCGCAGTCCGTCCTTCATATCAAGAAAGCAAAACCTGCACGGGTGACGTTGCTCTTCTCTGTTTCAGAAGTGGGAGAGCGTGAAGCTCTTGTTCGTGAAGACTGAGCGGTCAGTGTCCCTGCCTGTCTTCTCGTCCTTTGTCAGCTGTCAGGGCGAAGCCCAGGGACTCCGCGCACGAGACCTGTTGAAAAAGGTTAGTAGAAGTTCATATCCTGGACAGGCTTCATCATGTCTGTAGGCACAGCTCAAGAAGAGAGAACAGAGGTTCAGAAGAGCCCACAAGAGAGGTTGAGAGGAAGAGGAAACCCAAAATCTAGGCTGTTGAGTATTTGGTTATTCGTGGGCAGAATGTGAGACTGCCTGAGGCTGGCGGGCCTCTTGGTTCTGGCTCGTGGGTTTTAAGTACTGCTGGCACTACTGTAAGAGAGCAAAGGGAACCTTTTGTTACTGGCTGGACCAGTCTCCTGGTTGAATCAGTCTTTCTCCAGCCATGTTCATCCACGTGTCCAATGAGTGGGGGGTTTTTTTTTTTTTTGGTTTTGTTTTTGTGCCTGAAAAACAATGTCCCATATATAAGTTAAACTACACACATCCTCCCATATACTTTAAGTCATCTTTAGGTTATAATACTGAATGTAGTGTGAATGCTATGTAAACAGTTGCCAGAGTGCAGCAAATTTAAGTTTTGCTGTTTGGAGCTTTGGGGATCCCCGCCCAGAACATTTTTGATTCACACGTGATTGAGTCTGTAGATATGGAACCCTCCATGTGTGGAAGACCAGCTGTTTCACAACACATACTGTACAGTTCTGGATTATTCGTAACGCAACCTATAGACAAAGTTGACTTCCACGCAGCCGTTGACTACACGCTTTACATACTCAGATTCTGGATAGAATTTACCACATAAAATGCATCTTTGGCTGTGGATATGAGACAAAGTGACATTGGGTTTCAAGTTGTGGCAGTGGGGCTCGTTTGCTTGGATCTTGTGCAAGTCTAGGCCCTTTCAGGAGCCGATGAAAGACCTGACTGCACATGCTAAGAAGATTCTGCCCTTAAAATTATGCTTGGTTGTTTTTGGAGGTATCAAAGAAAAGCCGAAAGAAGAAGTCAAGAGCTCTTAAAAGACAGCAGGAGAAGAAAGAGAAGAAGCTTCTGAAGCAGGCTAGAAAGGCCAAACCTGCCCCGACGACAGACGCGGCGGCTCCCAAAACTGGGGGTGCTCCAGCCCAGGACCCTACACCCCAGAAGGAGACTGGTGGGGTGAGCGCCCTGCCTAAAGCACAGGGCGATTCTGAAGATGAAATCCCATTGCTGGTGCCATTGAAGGAAACTCCAGCTGCAGGAAGCACCAAGGTATTTTCATTAATATTGGTGCCCATTGTGGATGGTTCTGGGGCCCACGTGTGCCAGCAGGCACTGCTGAGGGGCAGGAAGTGCTACACCTGGGAGGCAGCTCTTGTAAAAATTTGTGAACTAAGGGATGAAAAATACCAGGGTGAGCCCCAAGAACCTTTGACTGACTCTGCCTCCCTCCTTAAATACTGGAGTGATGTGTAGTCAGCCAAGGCTTTCTTCATGTACCTTGGAATCAAGGGAGACACAGCCATATTAGTAATGCTAATAATTCAACCATGTTGCCTGTGGTTTTGAAGAGCAGATTGAGTTTCTGAAGGTGAGTCCTCAGTCACCACATCATTCATCTCAGGAAACTTACCTGAGAGGAAACCTGGGTGCTGGGTCCCGCCTCTGACACCTTTTCAAACACTCGGCCCTGCGTGGCTCTTAACTGAAGTCTGACTTCATGGGATTCAGAGGAGGTGGTTATAAGGAACTGAAGTTTTTTATTTTGGGGTGCTTTGTTAATGTTTTCACTCCATCCAGCTACTGGGGAGAGACTCAGAGGGGAGCAGTGGGTCCTTTTTAAGAGATTGGAGGGTGGCCCTCGTGATGTGTCTAGGAGACTCACAGCGTCTCTGGGCACAGCCCATCAGGGTCGTCCCACAGCTATCACTACACTTTACATGTTCTGTATTTTTATAACAGTAATCCTTAAAATCTTCAACAAAATTATAATTTTCCTCTGTTAGTGAAAATATTCCTTTTTAAAGTATCCCCAAAGTGCTATTGAGATTTTTTTAATATACTTGAAATTAATGTTGGTGATCAGTATGTTTACTGTAAGCAGCATAATTGTTTCTAGAAGAAGTAAGCTGTATTTGTTTTAATGTGACATGCTGGAGATTAAAGAGGGGAAATCATCGCTGCTGGGGTGATACGATTCAAGAGTATTCAGGTGTTGGCAGTTCCCTGGAGGTCCAGTGGTTGGACTCGGCGCTTTCACTGCCGTGGTCCTGGGTTCGATCCCTGGTTGGGGAACTAAGATCCCACAAGCTGTGTGGCATGGTTGGAAAAGAGTGTTGAAGTGTGTGTGCCTTTTGAACCACCTAGGAAATTTGGGGAAAGATAGAAAAGTTTCATCATATTTTTAATGTTTTTCAAAATTTCCATCTGTTGTTTTATATTGTCAGAAACAAAGTCCTGTTGGTGGTTTTGTCTATATTGTCTCTCTCTGTGGGACACAATCCATTGCTGGAATGTTATCCTTGGATCATCTAGGGTGCTTGGAAAATCCAGGCGTCCCAGCCTGGAGTACAGTCCCCGCTTTTTTCTAACATGCACCACAGTTGATTTTCACTGGGTAACCAGCCAACCAACCTGGTTTTCAGCAGGGTAACCCACGGCCCTAACCCACATATGGGGAATTTACTCCTGGGGGTGAAGAAGAGTCAGGATGAGGTCACAGGTCTCCCTGCCATGCTCCCAGCGCGTGCTTCCCGGACCCTTAGCCCCAGCCATAGGAGAAGATGTTTTTCCTCTGATTGGACCAAGAAGATGCTAGGGTCCTTTCTACAGTTGTTAATAATGAAATGCAGCTGCCTTTCAAAATGTTTGCAAGTCACAAGGAAAAGGCCATTCCTTACTCTCTGTGCTGCAGTGTGCCTTTTAGGGGCTCTCTAAATTTTAAGAACAGAAGCTCTTTGGGTTATGTTGTCAGTAGTCTGGCCCATATTCACCACCTGTTTCTTTTTCTTAGATACAAAAAGCTGCCGCAGGAAAGAAGTCTCCAAGAAAGAGCCCTGGTCCCAACACAGCCCGTGGGAAGAAGAGAAAGGCCTCCCCAGCCCTGGAGACCCCAGGAGCTGCGAAGGCCAAGACCCCAGGGAAAGGCCCAGAGGGGGCCAGAGTCAAAGAAGAGGCGGCGAAAGAAAGAAACTCTTCACTGGGCAGTAAAGACCCAAGACAGACTCCCGAGAAGCCAGAGGCCAAGCTCTTCGCTGCTGCTAGTAAATCTGCGAAAAAAGCCCCCCGAACCCTGACACAGCGACCCAAAAAACCCAAAGTACGCAAGGCAACCTAAAATCAGAGACTTAACCAGCAGGAAATTCAGCTATCCAAAGAGCTTGTAAAAAAATGCCTGGGTTCTAACTCTGACTCCTGCTGCAACCTCAGACTGAGGCCTACCTAGACTTCAGTATATTTTTTAATACATCCACAAATAATTCTGATCCATATTCGTGGGTGTATAAGAACCAGTAGTTGAAAGTAAGTCCATTTATTTTGTTGTTGTTCTGTGTATTTACTAATATAATAGAGGGAAAATACAGTGCTTCTTCGTGGTTGTGTTTTTTATTATTATTAAAGTGTCACATTTGTTTCACGATACACTGTTGGCATTCCATATCTTGTTGGTGTTTTATTTGAATGCCTGTGAGATAATTCTTTTCTTCATCTGCTTTCAGTCATTTGTTCACTTGACAGCTCCATTACAGTAATTTGTGCAGACGTATCCAGAGCTTGTCTGCAGGCCACTGGTGGACTTGCATGTGAATCAGCCATGGAGCTGGTGACCAACTCCAGTTTCATGGCCCCCATGCTGAGTTGGGTCTTGGAAAACACCCTTGAATCAGAAATAAAATAATTGATTCCATGGCCCAAGGTTCCAGATCACTGAATTAGCATACATTTGTTGAGGGAAGTTAACCGCCATCATTTAGAGAAGCCCTGGATCCAATCCCGCACGCTGGAGGCAAGAAAATACTTATTTCCCATAGCCTTTCCTTATTCCTCCAGATTACTCCTCACCCTACATAGATTTACTTACCTAAAGGGGAGGAAGCTCAGGAGAAAAGACTAAAACTTCAGGTCAGGCTCTGCAGCATAATTTAGGCCTCGGAGGAGCTGCCGTTGTCACGCTGTACAAGATGGGCTTTCCTGAAGCTGCCAGTTCTTTAAGAACTCATCAAATTGAGGCTGCTCCAACCAGCTCTGCTGTTAATGGATTTAAGGCAAATCTTGTCTTTAAGGAGATTGAGAAGAAGCTTGAAGATGAAGGAGAGCAGTTTGTGAAGAAAATTGGTGGTATTTTTGCCTTCAAGGTGAAGGATGGCCCTGGGGGTAAAGAAGCCACCTGGGTGGTGGACGTGAAGAACAGCGAAGGATCTGTGCTGCCTAACTCAGATAAGAAGGCTGACTGCACAATCACAATGGCTGACTCGGACTTACTGGCTTTGATGACTGGTAAAATGAATCCTCAGACGGCCTTCTTTCAAGGCAAATTGAAAATCAACGGCAATATGGGTCTGGCTATGAAGTTACAAAATCTTCAGCTTCAGCCTGGCAAAGCTAAGCTGTGAACGCCCTTTGCCTCCTTTGAAAATCAAGATGAGATATATAGATATATATCCATATATTTCATTGTCAGAACTTAGATTGAAACTATACATTGGGAAATAGCATGAGATTTGTTTTTAAATGGGTTGATCAATTCTGTTTTTTCTAAGCACTGGATGAATAGAACCTGATGGTTTACGACTGCTTTGCTGAGTTGCAAACAATTGTGCATTACAGAGTTAATGTGGTAATTATGGTTTGGGGGTAAAATTGAGTTTTAGAATAAAGTTAGAAATAGCAAAATACAAAACGTATGTAAACAGAAGCTCTCAGTTTGCTAGTAATGTATATTTGAAGATTATTCTGCTGAAATTTCAAGTTTTCCTTGGGAGAATGAGGGAAGAAACAAAATACCATTATTAGCTTACCAGTAATTAATATTGTGCATTTAATGACAAAATTCTGTACTGGGATTTTTGTTTTTAAAAAGATAAACTTTAAAAATTTGAATTTCATGCCATCAAAGTGGCATTTTCTTCCCAAATCAAAGAAATGTGATCAAAGCTTGGGAGTAAAAATCTACCACTGAACCCAGGCCTATTTTTTAAAATAAAAATATTTTTAAATGAGATTTGTTCTTGAAAAAATCAGTGTGTAAGAGTCACAAAATGCTGTTTTGAAAGTAATTCAGTGAATGGAGTTTGTTTTGAGATGCACAGTTTTCAAATTATAATCTTGTATTAATTTAAATTTGTAACATTCTTAATTATAATTTTTCTTTTTCGTATGTTAGTTTAACCGCATTTATCTTCCTAGCTTTTCTAATGCTAATGTTATTTCTAATAACTCAGTAAAATGTGGGGTAAAATAATGTTTTTGGAAGAATATTTAAAATAGCTCTTCCTCAAAAAAAAAAAAGAAAAAGAAAAAAAACTTCAGGTCATTGTCAAACATACCTGAGGCAGTAAATTGACTTTGTAGGTACTTCCGCTGGATTTGAACTGGAGTATATGTCTCTAGTAGTAAGTGATGTAGTTACTAGTACAGAAAAGACAAAGTGAGGCATGCTTTCAAAGATCATGTCATTGATGAATAGAACAACTAAAGGATTAAGAGCTTTAGGTGGTTCTCCAGGTTTTTAAATCATGAAAGCTTTTGAAACAAAGTTTTTCACTCCACTGTCATTTTAGACTGTTTAAAGTGAGTACACTGTGTTTAATGTAGGGGTTTAGCATAATTAATTTGTTTACCATAGAAAGTAGATTCCATAGGAAGGTGTATTTAAGACTATAAACCTATAATTAAAAAATAAAGACAATCCAATTTTTTAAATGAGCAAAGGGTCAGAATGGACATTTGCCCAAAAGAGATACACAAATGACCAACAAGCACTTGAAAAGATGATCATCATTAGTCATCAGGAAAATGCTAATCAAAACCACGAGATATACCACTTGACCCTAAAGGACAAGAGGAATGTGAAAAAATTGGAATGCATTGCAAATGGGAATATGAAATGGTACAGCTGCTTTGGAAAACAGTCTGGCCATTTCTTCAAACAGCTTAAAACAGAGTTATCCACATCCATTCCTTTGTATACACCCAAGGACATTAGGAACATAGGTCCACAGAAAGATTTGTCCTTGAATGTTTATAGCAGCATTATTCATAACAGAAGTAAAGCAAACCAATGTCCATCAGTTGATGAATGGATAAACAAAATGTAATCTATCCATTCAATGGAATATTACTCAACTACAAAAAGGAATGACTTACTGATAAATTCCACAACATGGACAGACACTGAAAATACTATGACTTAACCTCCAAGTCCGAACTTTCAAGGTGGGAATGTGTGTTTGCATGTGCAGTCACGTAAGGTGGCTCACATGTCTGGCGTATATTGTCACGTGTGCATCTTCTGTAAGTAGTGCTTTTATGTACTGTATAGTACTGTATAGAGTACAGTAGTATGGTATCTTTATTTCAAGCCCAGGGTGTCTGGAAGCAAGAGGGTGGATAGAATTGAATCTAGCAAGGAACCAGAACCTGTGCCAACAACATCAGAGGTGAGAGAAATTGCAGCTCGCCCTCCACCTCCTATTGCTGGTGATCCTTCAGTGTTACGATCTTCTCCCTCCTCCATCAGTCACTCTTCTTGCCTGTTCACTCGATGCCAGCCCCTTAATGCCAGCTGTTGTACTGTCCTAGGTCCTGTACCATAAGTTTAAAAATATTTTCCTTGATTTTTGTGTTTGTTTTTAATGCACTATTTGTGTGAAAAGTTTTATAGACCTATTACAGTACAGCACTGTATCAGTTGAGGTCAGTCACTCAGTTGTGTCTGACTCTGTAACCCCATGGACTGCAGCACACCAGGGTTCCCTGCCCATCACCAACTCCTGGAGCTGGCTCAGGAGTCCATCAAGTCCATCATGTCCATCAAGTCAGTGATGCCATCCAACCATCTTAAGCTCTGTCATCCCCGTCTCCTACCTTCAATCTTTCCCAGCATCAGGGTCTTTTCCAACGAGTCAGGTCTTCGCACCAGGTGGACTAAGTATCAGAGCTCCAGCTTCAGCATCAGTCCTTCCAATGAATATTCAGGACTGATTTCCTTTAGGATGGACTGGTTGGATCTCCTTGCAGTCCAAGGAGACTCTCTAGAGTCTTCTGCAACAGCATAGTTCAAAAGCATCAATTCTTCGGTGCTCAACTTTCTTCATGGTCCAGCTCTCACATCCATGCGTGACCACTGGAAAAACCATAGCTTTGACCAAGAGACCTTTGTCAGCAAAGTAATGCTGTGCGTGGACAAGTCCTTTTGAAGGAGATGGCCATTACAGTCATTACCGTAACATAGTTTGGCCTCAGGTCAAACAACAGGGAGGTAACACAGCCCCACCCATCGGAATAAGACCCAGTTTCCCCAACAGTCAGTCTCTCCTATCAGGAAGCTTCCATAAGCCCCTTATCTATCAGAGGGCAGTCAGAATGAAAACCACAATCACAGAAAACTAACCAAACTGATCACATGGACCACAGCCTTATCTAACTCAATGAAACTATGAGCCATGCCACGTAGGGCCACCCAAGAAGGAAGGGTCATGGTGGAGAGTTCTGACAAAACGTGGTCCACTGGAGAAGGGTGTGGCAAACCAGTATTCTTGCTTTGAGAGCCCCGTTAACAGTGTGAAAAGGCAATAAGATAGGACACTGAACGGTGAACTCCCCAGGTTGGTAGGTGCCCAATATGCCACTGGAGAAGAATGGAAAGGTAACTTCAGAGAGAATGAAGAGATGGAGCCAAAGCGAAAACAACACCCAGTTGTGGATGTGACTGGTGATGGAAGTAAAGTCTGATGTTGTAAAGAACAATCTTGCATAGGAATCTGGAATGTTAGGTCCATGAATCAAGGTAAATTGGAAATGGTCAAACAGTACTATATAGCTGATTGCGTTAGTTGGGTACCTAACTAACTTCATTGGAGTTGCTCTTGAAATGGAATTTGTATGTAGGGGACTTAACTGTATTAAGTAAAAGGAGCCAGACATAATGACCATCTATTGTAAGATTTCATTTATATAAAATGTCCAGAATAGGTAAAGCCATAGAGACAAAAAGTAGATTAGTGGTTGCCAGGTTCAGAGGGAAGGAGGGTATGGGAAGTAACCACTAATGGTTACAAGGTTTCTTTGGGGATGATGAAAATGTCCTGGAATTCATGGTGATGGTTGTAGTCTTGTGAAAAAAATACTAAAATCTTCTGAACTGTACACTTGCAAAGGGTAAATTGTATGTTACATGAATTATATCTCGAACAGCTTTGATAAGAAGAGCTAATGTTCACAGAAGCAAGTTCAAACTTCTCATTTATAAATATAAAAACCTACTATTGAGTTTTATAAAAATTCAATCTTTAGTTTTTCCTAATAGGGTGTACTTTAATATAATTCCAGATTACAGAAAATGTTTTGCATTTTCCCCACAAACTTCAAATAGAAAGTGAAAGAAAGTAAAGACGCTCAGTCATGTCCGACTCTTTGCGACCCCATGGACTGTAGCCTACCAAGGTTCCTCCATCCATGGGATTTCCCAGGCAAGAATACTGGAGTGGGTTGCCATTTCCTTCTCCAGGAGATCTTCCCGACCCAGGAATTGAACCCACGTCTCCCACATGGCAGGCAGATGCTTTACCGTCTGAACCACCAGGGAAGCTCACAAACTTCATACAGATGCCTCTAAATCACTTCCAGTTTCTCCCTGAGTACCACCAGATACTGACATGTTCTAGAGACTTCTCTGGTGGTTCAGTGGTTAGCACTCTGAGCTTCCACTGCGGGGCGCACCAGTTTGATCCCTGGTCAGGGAGCTAAGATCCCCATACGTTGAGCCCAGTGGTAAAAAAAAAAAAAAAAAAGACTAAACATTGCAAGAAAATAATATCCCAAACCCCACATCTCAAACACATGAGAATAGTGTATTTTCTATTGTTGTTTTACACAAATAGAATTTTTCATTTCCTTCTTTTTTTTTTTAACCATTTATATTTTTCAAGTTTCACTCATAAAATTTCTATTCTAATGAAAAAAGAAAAGTTCTCTTTTCTTAATTATACTTCAGGTTGCTGCCTGGGGATGGGAGGGGAGATGTGGATTACCAAGAGATACAAAGAAACTTTGGGAGGCAATGGATGTGTTTATGACTTTATTTGTGCTGATGCTTTCATCGCTATATATATACATATGTCAAAACTCATTGAACTGCACTTCAAAAACTCATGAATTGGTGCAGGTTCAATTCTGGTCAGGAAGCTGAGATCCTACATCCACCATGGCCAAAAAATCCAAAACATAATAGAAGCAATATTGTAACAAATTCAGTAAAGACTTTAAAAACGGTCCACATGAAAAAGATCTTTAAAAACAAGGGTCCCAGGCTTATTAAACTCAGGGCAGTTGGAAACCACTGGTATCAACTAGCTAAGGAGAGAGACTTCCCTCATCTTGACCAAATCATCAAGTGAAGCCAAATGAAACCATGACTATCAACATCCCAGGGATAAACAAACCTATGATTTCCTAGTGTTTTACATAAATGCATGATCCTTAATCAGTATATGATACGTGAGTGTCCCACAAGGTTCTCAGCCTCTCACCATTTTCTATCCCTGGATTAATTGGGATGAAAGCTGACAGGTGATAAAGGCTCTCCATAGAATCCACGTTATTGCAATTATCCAATCAAGATCCTGTCTCCTATAAAAGAAATGCAGTGAGGTAGCTGTGCTCAAGGTTTCATCTTGAAATGTGTTTGCCTGTTTGTTGTTTGCCTGTTTGTTATTAAGGAGATTCATTTAATCAGGTAAAGAGAACTCTATTTTTAAAAAATATATGTTGTGGTGTGTTTGAAAGTCATCAAAGATTTTTTTCTCTTGTTACTAGGTGAACTCAGGTATGTCTAAAAAAGATTCACTGATCATTGCAGTTCCCCAGATGTGTTTCTTGTTTTGCCTTTTGTCTGTTTTCCCTTACTTGTCGATGTTCTGTGTATATGTGTCAATAGTTTCTGACTCTTTGAGACCCCATGGACTGTAGCCTGCCAGGTTCCTCCATCCATGGAATTTTC